TCTGTAAAAAAAAAAAAATAAATATTTCACTACATCGTGACATTGGAAAACTCTGAATACGAAGCGTAAGTCAAATTGATACAATAGGACTATCCAATAAATACGATTCTTATAATATTCTTCAGTTCTGAGTTAAAAAGGACACTACAGGGAATTCCAGTGTGGGAAAGTTTGTTGGTTAACGTTTGCGCACAACATAGGAATTCGAAAGAAAGGCGCGTGCAAAAAGTCACGTAAGGATCGGTAAGGTCTGGCATCCCATCCCGCCCTACGCCATTTTCAGACATACTCGTGAAATAGGATATACCTGCCTAGATGAGTAGTTCTCCCTCCCATTGCCACCCCTACCACGACACGGCTGCTCAGGAATTCGGCCTAGTGGAAAACGAGCTCGGCCACGGACTTGCACGAAACCCTTTTTCGCTCGTAACCGATGCTCCGAAGCCTTTAAACTCTGTCGAATGATTGAACGGAGCGGCGTATGCGTAATTTACGTCGAACTTGTTTCGCTCAATGAGCCGTAATCAGTGACTCCCGAGACTGTTTAACACGTAAGCTCTTTATTGACAATGATGAAGAAGGACGTGAGAGGAGTCCCGAAGGGTAGCCTGTTTTATTGAGGACTGTCACGATTTTTCGACTCCTTAAATAACCTTCGTTTTCACAAGCACTTTAATGACAAACGAGCTAATGGCCAAGTTCTGACCTGACATCTTTCTCCCCACGTTGCAATTTAACACTTATTTATCAATGCTATGTGACGTTGACTTTTACCTTAACGAATCTCTTATCAAACGCATCGATATATATGTATATATTATATATATATATATATATATATATATATATATGTATATATATGATAAATACAAATAAATATTTCATTTTTACTTGGAAGACAATTGCCGTATTAAAAGTAGGATGAAATTTTTATTTCTTATATTAAATATGCTTTAGAGAATAAATATCGTATAGAGTTAGTGAAATAGTCGTCGTGGCATAAAAAAATAAAATAAAATAATACTACGAATAACTCGTAACCTCAACAACATTCATATAATTTAATCTATCGATACATGCCATAAGCAAAATGTCGAACGTGCTGTTTGATAGTTTGTTAGTGAGTTGCGAAATCATATACGCATTTTTATGTCTTTGAAAGAAAAAAAGAGAAAAAGAAGAAAAAAAAAAGCAGTGAAATGTGAACTACGCCGTTGTACGTAAATAAATATGATACGTATCTTTAAAACTGCATGGCACAACTTTGTACATGTTTCAAAGAAGTACAGAACTCGCGATATATTTACCCTTGGACTGGTCTATATCTAAAAACAAATGCAATTAATAATTGGCAATGCTTGGTAAGAAAAAGAAAATCCTTTAGACGATAATCAATTGCTATCTCTAATAAATTAATTTATCATTATACATAATACGATGGCATGTGTTTATTAATTTATATACATTTTTGATGATAAATCGAGGGACATTGATTGAAAATTTACAGGTTGTATTAATAAAAGGATTTTTTTTATATCAGTTTGTAATCAGTTTCATTGATATTCTTAAAAATATTTAATAAATAAATTTTGATGGATTTTTTCATTATTGTGTCTATTGTATCTATTATAACATTTTTTTCTACGTATAAAATATTGCCTTTAAATCAAGAAATTGAAAATCTTTTCTTTAACTATAATGAATAATATGGCCTATTTATTTGTTAAATATACGAGTATCCTTTTTTTTTTGTTTTGTTTTTTTGTTTTTATTGAATGTTAATAACATGCAATAACTGAGAAGAACCAACTAATTTAAAAAGAATCTGTATATACATTGTATTCGCTTAAGCATAAGTACTAATAAGTTTTTTATTTAACAAGCATTTCTTTTATTTATTTATTTATTTATTTGTTCTTTTTTTTTTCTTTTTTTCTCTTTTTTTTTTATTTTTTTTTTATTGTAATCGGGTATATTGTAGCCATGTGTTAATACACGGAGAACGAATATATTGTATCGATTGAATAATTCAAAATATTTGTATATCTTTAACTATGGAAAACGAACGGGTATGAACAATTGCCATTTAAATATTGAAAAATAAATGCATAGAACGAAAAATTTGAATTAATAAAAAGCCTTTTAAAAAAATTCCATTTGACGTACAATTTATTCGAATTGCTATAATGTAGCCGCCACGAGCTTTTTATGTTCTTTCATTTTTTATGTTTATTTAATTATAAAAACTATGCATAATAATTAAATAGATATTGCTTTTAGAATTAATATGTTTTTCCACGTTAATTGGTATGTGAAAATGCAAAAGTTATAATGATGAAATATTTAGAAGCATTTTGTAAAAATGTCTTTGAACAAAATATATATTTATTAATTTGATCATCATCGATACTAATATCGTCGATGCCTGGTAAATTATTTTTATTTACAATTGACGGTTGAATGCTTTGAAGGAATTAGGTAATTAGATCGAGCCGATCAGTCTCGCATTACTATTAGTTACTCGGTTCACTAGATAATGAAAGGTCGGCTTCGTTCGCCCTCCTTGTCCAATAGCCGTCAATTCATAAGATGACCTTTACTCGAGCAAAGAATTCCCATAATAAATATTTTTTATAGCTATCAAGCAATTAGTCAACGACAATCATCCACTTAAATTATCCGGCTAGACGAGAATGATCTCCAATTCACGCCCAATTATTGAGATTCACTGATATCGATTTCATAACTCATACGTGAATAATCTTGAATCCTCGCGAGCGACTTCCCCAGAGACAAAGTCACTTTGTCAATGAACTGTGCGAGCGCTTTTCGCCTTTCTTCGACAGTCCGTAAGCGGAGAGGATCGAGCCCCGGGGAAAAAAAGTGTTCGTACGAGCGTCATTACCGTTCGCGCCTGCAATCATATTTGTCGGAAAAGCGGAACGAGGGCACGAGCTCTCGAGTTTTTCTTCCCTCGCTGGAAATGCCGATGAGCGCTTAAGGTCAATTGGATCGTACTAGATTACATCGACTCATCGCGACAAGGAAAAACAATTGACGTTGAGCATCGTTCTCGACACTCAACTCCATTCGTGTAGTGTGTAATTTTATCAAATCAAACAAAATGATTTTTCGCTCCAGCGGTTTTTTCTCGAGCTTGGAGAAATATTGGTCGCGTTGTACTTGAAGATTTATGAGATCATTAAGCTAATTGCTTCCATGAAATAGCCAAATATATCTCGGTTTTTCTTTATTATTTTAATCATTATTACTACTTTTTTTTTTTTTTTTTTTTTCAACTCTTTAAAAGTGTTATAACGGAATTATCGAGGTGAGGAAATTCCAAATCAATTTAAAGAGACAAACATTTGAATATTTTAAGAGTTAAATGTAACCGTTCGTAATTTATATTAATAATAAATTAATAGAGAAGATTAATAATAAATTAATAGAGAAGATTAATAATAAATTAATAGAGAAGAATAATAATAAATTAATAGAGAAGAATAATAATAAATTAATAGAGAAGAATAATAATAAATTAATAGAGAAGAATAATAATAAATTAATAGAGAAGAATAATAATAAATTAATAGAGAAGAATAATAATAAATTAATAGAGAAGAATAATAATAAATTAATAGAGAAGAATAATAATAAATTAATAGAGAAGAATAATAATAAATTAATAGAGAAGAATAATAATAAATTAATAGAGAAGAATAATAATAAATTAATAGAGAAGAATAATAATAAATTAATAGAGAAGAATAATAATAAATTAATAGAGAAGAATAATAATAAATTAATAGAGAAGAATAATAATAAATTAATAGAGAAGAATAATAATAAATTAATAGAGAAGAATAATAATAAATTAATAGAGAAGAATAATAATAAATTAATAGAGAAGAATAATAATAAATTAATAGAGAAGAATAATAATAAATTAATAGAGAAGAATAATAATAAATTAATAGAGAAGAATAATAATAAATTAATAGAGAAGAATAATAATAAATTAATAGAGAAGAATAATAATAAATTAATAGAGAAGAATAATAATAAATTAATAGAGAAGATTAATAATAAATTAATAGAGAAGAATAATAATAAATTAATAGAGAAGAATAATATATTAAAGCAGACGTTTAAAAAAAAAAAAAAAAAAAAAAAAAAAAAAAAAAATTAAGATACAAACGGCACTACTTATACGATGTAAATATTGAAATTGTATCGATAATGCATAGGAAGTAGGAATAAAATGAAAACTTAAAATCCACGTTTCTCGATACCATATATGCGTGTTTTTTTTTCTTCTATTTTTATTTTTATTATTATTTTATTAAATTTATTATTATTAAATTATTATTAAATTATTATATTATTAAAATTAAATTATGATGATATTTCTATTTTATGATGCAATTAGTCTTTGGATTAATTTCAAATGGCAATGCATAATTACGGCAGGACGTTCGTTAATAGACCGTAAGTGTGCGCTTTAAATGTTTAAAGAGAAAATGTTCTTTGATAATAAATCAAGAATTTGATAAAATAAGCCGTTGAATAAAATTTATACTTAATATTTATTTATCACTCAAGACTTACAACTTTACGTACTACATACAAAAAGAAATGCTTAGAAATAATTACATTATATTAACGGTCAACTCTATTTTTTTTTTTTCTCCACCGCTTTAACGGAAACAAAAAACAATAAGGAATATAACAAAACGAAAAACAGAAAAAAAAAACTATTTTCCATGAACTCGAAGAATTCTGATGACCGTATGGTATTTGATGAATTGACCGTGAAAGCACTTGGCTTTTCCGCTCAACGGTACTACCGCATAATCATACGCAAGTTTCACAAGATTGCAATCCCATTCGATGGGCAAATCATAGACTATCAAACGATTGAGAATAAACCGTGAACGGGCATGGAAGAGGTGCAAGTCCAGGATTGGGCGTCCAGAATCCATCCATCCATCTTCCTTTATAAGATGATTGCCTTCCTATAACTCCGGATGACGTATAGCGCGCCAATCTCTGCGTCTCTTGTGCCTCTACATTAGAATCATTTTCGGGAGGAGCTCAGCTTTGGTCTCGAAGTCCTTGGTCCTGTGGGAAGAAGAGCAAACATTATGAGCTCGGCAGAACGCGAATTTTTTTTTTTTTTTTTTTTTTTTTTTTTTTTTTCTTTTCTTCTTCTTCATTTTAAAGTAAGATCGCGACAGATTAGATGACTGGTTGTGCAGATGGATAGGGACAGTAAGGAATGGCTCGTTTACTCTTAAGTTGTTTGCTTTTATCTCGTTGTGTTTTATGAAATTATTACTCGAGAGATGCATTGGCATATTGCCGAGCATACGTATACTGACTAAATAGGATGTTACTCCACTAGGGACGATGAAAAAACAAAGGATATATTTATTAGAAAGGATTAAGATTCTTATGTAGATCAAAATTGTATAATCGACAAGTTTTTTTGTATGAATGATTGCCTGATTGTAGTAGAGTTTCCTTTGGTGCCATAAGCGCTTGCATCCCATTAACAAGCCAAAGAATAATTTCTCTTTTCTCTTTTCTTTTCTTTTTGTTTTTGTTTTTGTTTTTGTTTTTGTTTTTGTTTTTGTTTTCCGGATAAGAAACTGATCAATTAATCACGTGTAAATGTATAGCGAATAAATGCGATTACATTACAGGTGCGGCATTTTCGTGCGCGTCTGCCCGTCCATTTGCATGAGTGCAAGCACACTTATTCACACTTACACAGCAATGCATCACAATCGTTTCAGTGATATGTGCAGCAGTGGTATGCTTGAAGTTACGAAGCCGTGCAAAAAGAAAAAAAAAGAAAAAAAAAAGTATTCCCTTTGCACGAACGTTCGCTACACATCCTGATATACTTATATTATTTCGATAAGATGATGTATCCTGTGCTACGATACTTTGTTTGATATTTGTTTGTTTGATTTAAATTCGTTTAATGTTAATACAGTTAATGCAATATTCTTGTATTTATTGTTAAAATGAAATTAGAATAACCGTCCACGTGGTTAACGGTGTAAATTAATTATTCGATATGATAAGATATCCATTAATAGGCGAACAATTTTAATTGTAATGATTACCAATAGCACTTTTTATTGACAATAATATCCAATTATTACTAATGCTTGAGATGAAATATTATATTGTAGTTGAAAATTTTTAATTATACCAGTGCCAAAGTATCGGTAAACGAGCATCTAACCTATTTGTAAATTAACACGTATTGTGTATTCATTTTAAAATCAACACATAAATCAACGGTAGTACAACTCTAATATTTACCCAGTCTTTTTACTGATTTTTTTTTTTTTTTCTTCACTTTGAAAGTAAATATTCCAAGTCATTATGATTGTTTATGCTAATAATGTCATAATAATTTTA